CTTGTACAAACATTAAATATCAAATAACAAAACTGAACCTTCATCTTTACAGTCTTCCCAAGCTAAGTCCTTGGTGGAGACATGCCACCAGCACTTAAAAATGGTTTTTCCACATAAGGTGAGTCAAAACCCAGTAAAAATGATCCAACACAATATATGAATCTTAACAAAGATATAAGAGTTAAATACATATGCAATGCCCATGTCAAAATATTTTATATTTCTTTCCCAAAACCATGCCATGCTTAGTTTATATCACAATTCTCAAGTCATGTCTTTTACAATAGAAAACTATAAGGAAATCTCAATCGGTACAACCTTTCACAGATATTTCGTCCGCAAGAAACTGTTAAACGGCACCCATGTAAATGTAGTCTATACAAGCACTACTATCGTAATTTTTACGGATATTTCGTATGTGGGAATCGGCACCTATGTATACACGCGTTTTTTGGGACTTTCACCTTGGACACACTGACCAACTTAATTTGGTAATACACACCTCTTTCCAACATTCACCCTATTTTCTCAAATTCATATATATATGCAATGTATTAGATGGACAACAATGTTCAACGCACAAAGATAAGAAATTAGTTTTAATTCACATAATCTTTATGTAATTTCTACAACAATCATAGTTATCTTCTACCGATAGCCCAAAACAGATATTTCTAAACAGATATCAAATCTCTAATATAGATAAACTTTCTAAATTTTAAGGTAAGTGACAATACATATCAATCTCCACCATCTATATCAATATCCATCCAATTTCCCATTTCCAACATTAATTCTATTTATTTATATAAAATAAATATTTGAAACATTTAGGTCAAAACCTCATTTTTCTTCCAAAATCCAATCCAAGTATCAAAATCAGCAATTTTGCCACCACTTAACCTCATTTCCACTCCCACAACCATTTTCCATACAACCATTTGAAAGCCCCTATTTTGATTTTAAATCAAAACCCTAGGTTTGTTCAAAATCTTTCAAAATCACAATATTGTTTTTTAAAAACAAATAGCTAGGTTAAAAATCATAAAATAGTGTAGAAAATCTCTACCTTGGAGCTAGAAGACCAAGGAGAGAATGAAGAAACCTCAAGAAAGCTAAAATCTAACTTTGCTCGGATGAAAACGAAGCTCTACCTTTTTTTCAAAGGGAATAGGGTAAAGAAATCAATGGATTCAAGTGTTTTAGAAGAGAGAATGTGAGTTTTAGAGAGAGAAGGTCTCAATTTAGGGTTTTTAGAAAGTTTAGAGAGAGAGAGAGAGATATGAAAAAGTGATGTCAAATGGCCTTTTTACGAACTAATATATATACAGCTTGCTCGAGCGCAAGAGTTGTCACTCGAGCGACCAGACACAATAAGTTGTTCCGCTTGAGCGCATAATACACACTTCTAGAAGTTTTACAAACAGAAGATCGTCGTTCGAGCGCAATAAGTCTCACTCGAGTAAAGAACACTACCTCTCCAGTATCTCTGTAGGCTTGCAAAAGTATTGGGAGCTCACAAAGCTCACTCGAACGTAAGAAGTTTCGCTCGAGCGAAGAGGCCAGATTCTAGACAACAACAGTTTGAACCAACTGGCAACCAAGTTGTTCCAAGCACGACCAAGACACTCCAATACTCAAACTCAATGAGAAATAATGAGAAACACGGTATGAATATCTAAATAAGACAAATGAAACCTGAATTCAAAATATCAATGGGTCGGGTCTAAACCAGGAACACTATATTAATTAATATACCATAAAGTCTTATTAGGTTAGGCCTTTCTAAAAAAGATAAGAAAAGAAAGTCCTATTATGTTGGGAATGTGATCCAACAGGTCTTTTAAAGGAAACGTGGTATGGACTTGGTGACGATTTTGCCCCTTTGTTGATGTGGTGGCACATTTTACAGGGATTTTGAATTATTTCAATCATGTGGGGTATTTTCAGGGGTGTAAATTGGGTCTGTCTCGGCTCACCTGGGCATATGTCAGGTCGTCCGGGCTCTCGCTAAAATTCAAGTCGAGCCAGAAATTAGGCCAAAGCCCTGGGGATATTTGGGTCTAGGTTTGGGTCAGGCCTGAATAATTTTTTTATTTTCTCATATATTTTCTGCAAAAATTGTATTATTTTTCACTAAAATGACATTGGGCCTTGGTCGGGATTTTGAGCGAGCCTTGAGCGGGTTGATGGACCGGGCCAGGTGAGCCGGGCTTCAAAATGATGGCTCAAGACCACGGTCCCGAACCGGGCCCATTCCAGGCCGTGGGCTAGCTTCAGGATGCAGGCCATTTTTACCCCTATAGGTATCTTTTTCAAATATGACTAGTATATTTTTTAAAAGTGATTAATTCAGAATAAATAAATAAAAAAGTTCCTAGTATACTTTTTGTAAACATGGTTAATATAGAACAAATAAATAAAAATTCTTAGTTTACTTTCAAATGTGAAACATGACTAGTATATTTTCCAAACGTGAGTATATTTTTCAAACGTGACTAATACAAAATACATAAAAGCATTTAGTGTAATTTTTTCAATCACGACTAGCGTGTTTTCTAAATGTGACTAATATATTAAACAACATGGGCAATTGTGTCAATTCTCATGCAATGGAACTTCTGTTTATTAAAATAAAGGGTTGTTTAACAAATAGGTTAAAAGTTGACTTTTTCATTTTTTTTTGAAAAAATATGTAAAAATATGGAGAGATAATGCGACAAAAAAAAACAAAAAAACTAAAAAAAACAAAAAAAGGGCAAAGTTGTCAAAATGGGCCAAAATTTGGACTAATTAATCCACAAGTTACATTTTGAGATCTGTGGGTCAATCACCCAAGAAAAAATACAATTGGAAAAAAAATTATAATTATAATTACTAATATTTATAAAATTTCTTAAATTAATTAGGTCCTGTTTGGTTATCTTTTCAAATTGTAATTCTAATAAAAAAAAATTTTTAAAACCTTTTTTAAAACTCATAACCAAGCACACAATTCAAAATTCAATTAAAAAATTATTTTTAAAACTCATAACCAAATACACAATTCAAAATTTAATTCAAAACTATTTTTAAAACTCATAATTAAACTTTTTTCAAAACTCTATTAAAAAAAAATTCAAAAAAAATATTATTTATTTTATTTTTTAAAATTATTTTTAGAATCATGATTTCGAATCATGATTTCAAGGTGGAGGTGTATTTTGAGTTATGAGTTTTGAAAAGAAAAATTTTATTTGGTTATGAATTTTGAAAAGAGTTTTGAGCTGTATTTCATACAATTGTGCGTTCCATTTTTTTTTAAATATTTTAAAATGTTTAAGAAAAGTTTAATTTTTATTTTAAAAAGATAATTTTTATTTAAATATATATTTTAAAAATTTTATTTTATAAATATTTTAAAAATTTATTATTTATTATTTATTTAATTTAAAAAAAATTGGATCGCCATATATATCTAAATCATAACAAATTATTTGGTTAATACTTAAAAAAATAACAAAAAATTATTTTTCAAAAAAATAAAAAAAATATTTTTTCAAAAAAATATAGAATATAAAATAATTTTAAAGAACAAAATAAAAATTATTTATTTGAATTTTTTTAATAAAATTTTGAAAAGAGTTTGGTTATGAATTTTAAAAAAAAAATTTGAATTGAATTTTTAGTTGTGTGTTTGATTATGAGTTTTGAAAATAATTTTTAAATTGAGTTTTGTATTATGTGTTTGGTTATAATTTGTGTGTGGAGTTATGTTTTGAGTTTAAAATATTAAAAAAAATATATTTGAAGTAAAAATTACATATTTAAAATAAAAAATAAAATTATCTTAAACTTTTTTGAATATTTAAAAAAATAAATTCAAAAAATTTTAAGATACAAATTAAAATTTCAAAACTCAAAACTCAGATTTCAAAATTTAAAATTCAAAAACTCAAAACTCTTTTTAAAATTTAGAACCAAACATATATATATATATATTTTAAAACTCAACTCACAATTTCATATTCAAATCATAATTCTAAAACTAAACCAAATGATTGGTTATGAATTAAGTGTGGAGTTGTGTTTTGAGTTTTTTGAATCATAATTTGAAAAGAGAAAATTTGTTTGGTTATAAATTTTGAAAATAATTTTAGGATGATTTATCACATTTTTTATTAATTGATGTATATGTGAGAGAAAAAATGATTAATTGAATAATAATAAAAGAAGAAGAAGAGAGGAATTTGAAAATAATTTTAAATTATATTTTAAAAATATATTTGATTATCATGTTTTATCTAAATTATAATTTAAAAACAGAATACAACTTGCTTAAACAGTTTTCAAAAAATTCAATTTTTTTAATTTTTCGTATTTTTTGTGTTTACTAAATTTTTTTAATATTTTAAGTAATTTTTTTTAAATATTTAGACACACCTAACATAAATACATATAAAAAAAATATTTTAAAAATTCACTAAATATAAAAAATATGAAAAAATACGAGAATTTAGTATATTTTTCTTATTTTTATGTATTTATTAATTTTTTAAAGTATTTTTTTTTACTTTTTAAATACATCTAACTATGTGTATCTAAAAAAGTAAAAAAATACTTAAAATTTTAAAAATATTCAATAAAAACAAAAAAAAAAACACAAAAAAAATAAAAAATTTAATTTTTAAAAACTTAACCGAAAACGCTCAAACCAAACATAAGTCCTGTTTAGTAGAGTTGTGAGAAAGTGCTTATAGCTTATGCCTAAACAACTTATAGCTTATAACTTTCAGCTTAAACTGATTTCCAGCTTATTCTTAAAGCATCTCCTGCCCCACTCAAAGAATAAGCTGATTTCTGACTTCCACAAAGCTATAAGCTATAAGCTAAACCAAACCCATCAAAATAGCTTAAATTAAGTTGAAAGTAAATAATTTCTGCCAAACAGGCACATACACATTAATTTTTTAAAAAGTAAAGCAACAGTTTTTCAAAACATCATGTGATACTGAAAAAAAAAGAAAAAAAAGAAAGCCCCAAACATCAGCGGTAAGAAAGAAGGCGCCTTTCATCTGAAGGTGGCAGGGTTTGAAGTGCGTTAGAGAGAGAGAGAGAGAGAGAGAGCGAGGAGAGCAGGTGTGTGAAGCGAAAATGATGTTGAGAACACCGCCTCCAAGAAAGCGGAGGGCCGATTCGAGGCCACCTGAAAGCCCTACCTCCGATCATCAACTCGTCATCTTCGAAGATCTTCCAGTGCCAGAATCGTCTCACCATCATTCCGACCAAATGCTCTGCACTTATCAATGTCGTCAGATGGTATTTCTTTTCCCTTCTACATTTTCTTAGATATCGCACTTCTTGAAATCCAAGCTCTTTGAATATTGAAACCAATTTCTTGGATTGTTGATGGTAGAGAGCCCCATACTTGTTCAATTCTATACCCACGATTTGCTTTTGGTTTACTTCACATTGTGTATGTATTTGTTGATTTGATTGACAATAGAATTGCTAGTTACCTTGATTTTGGTGCTTTGCTGATTCACTTGTATCTGGATTATGTAGGGTTTTGTTAGTCTTACTACATTAATCATCTAAATCAAAGTGTATGAAATGAAGAGAATTTGGCTAGAGTGATTGCAACTTTCACATTGTGTATGTATTGTTGATTTGATTGACAAGTAGAATTGCTAGTTACCTTGATTTTGGTGCTTTGCTGATTCACTTGTATCTGGATTATGTAGGGTTTTGTTAGTCTTACTACATTAATCATCTAAATCAAAGTGTATGAAATGAAGAGAATTTGGCTAGAGTGATTGCAACTGAACCAATAAACTGTAAGAAAATCCTGTCAAAACATGTAAAAAAAAAAAAAAAAAAGAGGAATTTTACTTTAAGAAAGGCATCGTAAACAAGTTACAGGCCATGATGTTGCATATAAAAAATTCTTCTATTTTTCTACTTGGCTTCTGACATTAGAAAAGGGGGGGAAAGAAGGAAACCCATCCTTTCTTGATTTTCATTTATGTTTAACTTTTAACATGCAAATGCATATTAATAGTTCTTTTTGATCATGGACCTTTTGCTGTTATAAGTTTCTATGACCAATCAGTATAAAATTGGAGGCTTTGGCACCATCTCTATTTCATTATCAACTGATAAACTGTTAGCTCGAGTGGTATCTCCAGGCACCCTCCTCAAGTGTTACTTATGAGCAAATGAAGTTTCTTATCTAATTTTTGATTTGGCCAAAGATGCTATCATTGTACATGGATGTTATTAGCAGTGGTTTCTTATCCTGCATATTTTATTTTTTCTGTCATAACTTAATAGTGCCTATAGAGCAGCAGTTGGCTGTTTTGAATCGAAAGCTATATGACTTCTCCTCCCCTACTTGCATCGCAGTTTTGTAAACGATAAATTTAATTAAAAATGAAGAATTATGTAGAATGATTGACAAGATGGAGAAGCTTGACATAAGAAACTAATTAGAACAATCGAATCATATCCTTGCAAACAAAACAAAACAATGCAAAGCCTACATGACTAACCCTTGATGACCCTTAACACATTCAAGGGATCTGGCCTTCCTCTTACTTAGCTAGGAAGTTTGCTCTTTGTTGGTTGACATCTATAAAGTCTAAGAGAATGAAAAAATCACCGTAGTGGAGACATCCCAAATTTTCTTGTAAGTCACCATAAAGTTTCTTCCTTGTCCAACTTGCGATAGCCAGCAATCTTGTTCCATCAAGAGATGGGTCACTTTTGAAGAGGCGGACTCTTTAAGACCCTTGAGCACACTTAAGTTTTATGCTTAAAGAACATCTATTTGATTGATATGGCATATAAATTTATTGCTACACTATGAACTTCAAAACTTGCTGTCCATTCTTATTTTCCCTTTGTCCCTACGGGTAGTTGTCAAATCAAGTTTAATCACATCACTAGGAGTAGGAGGGGGAGGGAGGGGCGGAGGAAAGGGGTGGTAGTGGTGGCAGCAGGGAAGGAGTGGAGAGGGGTGGTTGAAAAAGAGGTGGTCAATGGGGTGGGGAGGGGTAGCAGTGAGTGATAGTGGTGATTAGGGTTTGGAAGATGGTGGCGAGTGGGTGTCTAGAGAAGTGGCAGTTAGGGTTTAGAAGATGGTGAATGGAGAAGTTTTGTTATTTAAATTTTAAGGTTTTTGTCCAATGTCCTTAAAGGTAATTTTGTTAAGGGATAGATTGTAATAAAAAAATTAAAAATGATGCGTACAATGAGATAAAAAATGTGGTGTAAATAGAAGTTCCCGAAATGCCCTTGATACTAAAGCAAGCCTTCATTTTAACTTCTTTATTTGTAATTATTTGTTACTTTTATTTCAACATTTTTGCCTTAGTTTCTTAATATAAACTTTAGCTTTGTGCACTTTGGAATATGAATTAGAGATATCGTATTCTATCTTATGGAAACCTTCCCTTTGCATATATATTGCATAATTTATATTTGAAATTCTTGATAGTGGAAGTAAGTTCTTAGTAGCAGTATTGCCTTCATGTATATATTTTTTTATAGGTTTCTTTGGTTAGATTGTAATTAATGGGCTAGTTTAATTTGTCATTGATGTAGGTTAAATCGGAATTCTTTGATGCTTTAAGTAGTGCAGAGAAGCAAGCACATGACTATCAATCTAAATTTGAGGCACTAAATGATGACTTCTGCAAGGCTGGTGGGTTATCTATATGAGATTGTTTCAACATTTGGTTGAGATTAAGTTTTAGCTCTAAACTCAGCTTTCAGTTATGTTCACATCTTATGTATTGTGCAAGGATTGGCAGGGCAAACATATCTAACTTGAATCTTGGTTGTTTCCTTACAATAAAAATACCATATCAATTTTTGCTTTTCCAAATGTGTGTGTTTGGTTTGAGGTTTTTGGATTAACTTTTTTGAAAATTGAGTTTTTTTGTTTTTAGTGAATATTTTTAGTATTTTAAGCATTTTTTTTTACTTTTTTGGATGCACCTTACTTAGATGTATCTAAAAAGTAAAAAATTTGTGAAAAAATATTTTAAAAATTAATAAATACATAAAAATAGGAAAAATATATTGAATTCTCGTATATATATATATTTTTTGTATTTTTGGTATTTAGTGAATTTTTAAAAGATTTTTTTTCACAAAAATTATAGGCTGTGTTTGGTACAACTTTTAAATCATGATTCTACCTTTTAGTTTGAGTGCCGCGTTTGTTTACAGTTTTCAAAACACATTTCCACACCCGCGTTTGAAAATTCGTGTACCCAGATGTCCCCCCGGACGTTCAGCTGGTCGTCCGACTGGTTGACCGGAACAATGTTCTTCATTTTTTTTTTTTTTTGGCACTTGTTATTTTTATATTTTAAATAAAAAATATTTTCAATTTTTATTTTTTATTTTTTATGAGTTTTGAATAGAATTTTGAGTTGTGTGTTTGGTTATGAGTTGTAAGTTTTTGTATAAAAAATTATGTCACATCACTCAATTCAAAAACTCTTTTCAAAACTCATTTACCAAATAAATTTTCTACACTCAAATCATAATTTCAAAACTTACAAACTCAAAATACAACTCATATTCTGAAATTTTATTTAGAAAACTCTACCAAACACAACCATACTTTTTATGTGTATTTATGTTAGGTGTGTCTAAAAATTAAAAAAAATGCTTAAAATATTTAAAAAATTTCAGTAAAAACAAAAGAACACCGAAAACAAGAAAGTAGAATTTTTGAAAAGTATTTTTGGAAAACCAAAAACAAGCAAAGTGAATGGTATTTTGTTTAATTACTTCAAGCGGCCCCTTTTCTGTGGGCTAACAGTATTGTATGCTTTTGTTGTTATTTTGTTCTTTTGATTTTTGACTAACAATGCATAGAGTTGAGAAAAATATGAATTGGTCTGCACAACCCCCCCCCCCCCCCCCGCCGGGCTAAAGGTTTAATAAAAGAACAGAGGATGTCTTACAATTAGGTATAGCAGGCTAGGGCTTTAAAATCTTGTTTAATGGTTGGAACTTGAAAGATAAGATTAGGGCTTGAGTATGGACTAATGATGAAAATGCTTGAGGCCGGGTTTGAAATTAGAGGCGATAACTTGCTAGATTTCTTGAGAGGGCAAGGAGAAATACGGGTTTGAAATTAGAGGCGATAACTTGCTAGATTTCTTGAGAGGGCAAGGAGAAATAGGTTTTAGGGTTGGAACTTAAAAGTAATTAGTATTATTGCCTAGGGTCAAAGGCTAACTGGAATTTAACTTTGTCCACTCATTCTTTAATTTCAACAATTTAGTCTTCAAACTTCAACCCATGCTTCAATGCAGTCCTCCTTTTACCCCACTGTTTGAAATTTGAGTGAAAATTGAAACACGAGGGACCAAGTGAAATTTGAAGTTTTAAATTGTAATTTGTCGTACACATTTTTTCTTCTAATGCTCTTAAATTGTGCTCTTGTGGCCATCACGTGAGTACTTTCTGTTCAAAGAGACCACATTGAGACACAAGGTGAACTTTGAGGACTTAATTGTTATAATTAAAAGATGAGAAAATTTTACCGAAAGTTTATTAATCCAAACTTGCTTAATTGTTTTTACAAAAAAATTACTTAAATGAAGAAGTTAGTAGCTCCCCCACTATGAAAAGGATTCTTTACGTCCTACTACATAGTGTTTCCTAAACTAAGGATCAGATAATTCTATACAAGTAAATGGCAGGAAAAAACTACTAATCAAACAAAACTAGCTTAGACTTTATAGACATACACAATTACTAATATACTCTTAGGGTGCATTTGGATATATGTGGATTTCAAATAAAGGGATTTGATGTTAAATGGATAGAAAAACAATGGAAGAAGATAAAGTGAGATAGAAGATATATATTTATTGTAGTAGGATCCTTATAGTTAGAAAGATAATTGTTAGAATGATTTCAAATAACTGGTTTTACATAGTTATTTCAAATCCATCATGATATAGCTATTTAACTCAATTTTGAAATTCATAAGTAAAATGTCATATCTAAATTTGTTTTATTGTCTTTGAATGATTAAAGTCAAATCCCTTGATTTGAAATCAATATCTATCCAAATGGACCATCATTGTGAAAATTTTCATTTTCTTGGATGAATAGATATTAGATCCATCTAGATTCACCCAACTCAATTGGGAGTAATTTTGGTAATGTGAGACTCATTGCAGGACCAATAGGTTTACAGGTGGGGCTCATCATGGGGATGCTCTCTCTCTCTCTCTCTCTTTTTTTTAACTTCCCTCCTTTTCCAAGCATATGCTTTAAGAGGTTGATTCCCATCACTCATCCACAATGATTTTGCATATAATTAGTTAATGTTGTCCTTGCAAGTCAGAAATATTCATATTGTCTGCAATCTTTCACTATGCAGTGCAAAAGGTGTATCAACAATTCTTATTTATCTATTTATATCAGTAACAGGTATCTCTTCATTTGTATTTGATTGATCATCATTTGCCCATATACATGACTGGGAGTCAAGATATTTTATGTCCTATACTATCACAAGGTTAAACTTTCTCGTACAATGTACATTTTTGCAGTATCATTAATGCGTAATCTATAAGATATTGCACAAATGTTTAATGAGTGGGTCATCTAAGTTAATATGTGTGGTTCCTTCTCTGCCTTCACAATTTTTCCTTATAATTTGTAAAATGCATTCTTACAAGCTCTTTTCTATGGACATTGTGTCCATTTGTGTGAACTTGTATTATCCATTGATCCTTTTCCACATTTTATAGAATCTGAGAGGAAGAAACTTAGAGATAAATTCTTTTATACGGAACAAGAACTTGCTGGTACTAAAGGACGGGAGCAGGCGTTACAAGAGCAGCTACTGAAGGAGGTCACTGATTCTCAGGAAAGAATGAAGAAACAAATACAAGCATACAGTGAGCTTGAGGTTCTGTTTTTTTTAGCTTGCTTTTACCCTTCTATTGCATGTCATGTAAAATGTATTGCTGTTAATTCTATATTTTCATGTTCTGTTAATGCAGTTAGTAATTACCCACCTTCTTAATTAATTGCATTAAATGTTCAAATTCTCAATGTTGGTTCTTGTTTCTAATGTTTTTTTCCCTCCTTTTTTGGGTGGGGGTTGACAAGCTCAAGCTCCTTTCACAGGCTTAATGTTCAACCTATGATTTCCAATTTCTTGTTGAACCCATGTAATTGTGGTGTATGTAATGGGAAAAGGACATAGCTTGCCTCTTGCTTTGGGTGTGGTTTGATAGGGGTTAGTAAATTAATTGTAGAACATTGTTTTCAAAATGCAAATGCATGTTATTAGTATCATAAAACTCAAGGACAAGTTGCCACTATTTTAAAGCCTAGTATGTGTTGTCTTCTCTACGTAGTTGTGATGGTTAAATTATGATTTTTTGTTTTATGTTGGATCATCATGTACTACGTTTTGGAGGGGAAAAAAAATAAAATTGAGAACCATTATTTACTCAAGAATGTTTAATGTTCACTAGTAGGCAAAGTTTTTAAAGTCGAATGTGTAATGTGAGGCATTTTACCCCTCGTGAGGTGAGGTGTAAGCTTTAAGGCATTGAAGCGTAAGCATTTCAAATTCTAAATTTTTATATTTAATAAATAATTTAAATATTTTAAAACAATAAATAAATACATCAAAATTAAATATAAAGGTGTAAATACTTTTTTGCTCAAGGCTCAATGCAAAAAAGGAAGCTTTGCTTTATTGAAAGTGAAATTGGTATTCTTAGCTTTTGTGATTGAGCTTCTCGCTGAGTATTAACTCTGTGCTTTTTCTTGATTGGTTGTTTACAAATTTTTCCTATAAAATATAGTTGCAAAAGGGGTTCTTTTTTATTCTTTATGCTTAAACCATCTACTAGACTAAGGCCTCGTTTGGGAACATGCTAATTTAGTAACTTTTTGGCTATTTGGCTAAAAAGGTAGGTAAAAAAAACTTGTATGTTTGGGATGACTTTTTGGCTAATTACGAAAATATGTGCAAAAAGTAGAGAGAAAAGAGAATCTTTGACTTTTTGGTATGGGTTGTTGGCTTTTTGGCTAATTTAGTAACTTTTTGGCTAATTGGCTAAAATAGCCTCTTGCCAAACGAGGCCTAAGTTTAACAAGAGCCTAAGTCAAACTTTTATATGCATATTCCTCATATGCTTATGCATAGAAGGTGTACAAGACGCACCTAAAGCCCATGTCTTAGACTATGTGTGCAAGCCTTTGATGAGTAAAGCCTACAAATCAAAGCCTCGAGGCATTTTGCTTTAGCCTTGCCTCGAGGCGAACCTCAGTAACACGTTTTAAAACTAGTAGGTCAAATTTTTTTGACATGAAATTCAGGACCCATTTAGTAGATTTTTAGTTTCAATTGGTGACTACTTTTACATTGTAAATTACAATTAATAGAAAATCCACAGAAGGATTTCAAACTTAAAGATTTAGTTGGGTTGTCAAACAATTAGATAAAGGTTGGGTGTTTCAAATATGTTCTCAGTTGGGAAGTGATAATATTGAAGGGTTCATCTAAGTTGAAGGGCACTCCATATGATTTTCATGGGCATTTATGCAAGTTTAATGACAATGAAGAAGTTGCAGGGTTGTATTAGTTTGGGTGGTGTTGGTGCGTAGGTAGCCTGTGGGCCCGTTGGAATAATAGTAGGCATTGAGATGGAAAAAAAAATTACAAATGGCAGAGAGGGGGAAGGGTGGAGGCATCGTTACCAAGTGGGGTCAACGTGTTCGAGCAGAGAATCATTGGCACAACTGTGGGTTCGTTCCTTGGCACCATGGCTCAAGATGATGTGGTGCCATGATGGCTCGTGGCGACTCACTTGAGGATCCATGCGTCAGTATTTGGTGATGGACGGTGCCTGTGGATCTGGCACATGGCAGCCAGATACAGATACCCATAATCGGAATGAAGAAAATCCATTCTTCGGTTGGATCAAAATTTATTCCTGGACTTTTGGTTGCTTGCTTGCGTTCTTCCAAATCATACTCTAGATTTATATGTAGTCTGAAAAGGGGGCTTGTCTGGTGGAGGTTGAGAGAGGCTGAGAGCTGAAACTTAAGTCTTGTATTCCTTTTTTAAAAAATAAATAAATTATGTTTTGCTTTAGTAGCAATGTTGCTACTGTATGCTATAGCAGCAATTATGGTATGGAATGAGATATCCAACAACATAAGCAGTAACGTGTCAATTTTATAAATGAGGTAGTGGTTTTGAATTTTGGATTGGTTTACTGGCCTCTGTGATGCCAGAATTATACGAGGCCAGTTGGTTCTATGATTTTTAAACTCAGGACCAAGTTGACAAAAAAAGAACTGTTGGATCATAGATTGACTTTAGGTTATCTTATTTTAAAAGAGAAGCCTTAATTTATGACTTGATACTAACAAAAGTAGTATTTCTCTATCATAGATGTGTGTATTCAACAACTGTGTAGTTGGAGATATATTTTGAGTGTTCAATTCCATTGTCCTTGAAATTCGTGTTCATATTATTTCATTCTAAACTATGTGGCGGTATATCTTTTGCTTGATTTATTTGTTTTTGCCATCATTTCCTTCTAATAGTTTATGCCATCTGATTGTAGGTGAAGCTCCAAAGTGAAATGAATCTTCGCAAAAAAGCTGAGGCCTCAGCAGCTTTAGCTGAAGAGAAGGCAAGCCTTTCAGAAGGGAAACTGAGCAGTCTTTCTGAAAGCATCGAAAGGGAAAAGAAACATTTTCATGATGAGCTTCTACATATGAAAAGGGAATCAAAATTTTCAATTTCTAGAATAAGTGCAGATGTGAGTTGCTAAATGTGTTTATTGAATCGAAAGAGCTTGTGGTTAAACATTTATTGGAGTAAGTTTTTCTTTTTTATTTATCTTTTTGTTTTTTTTGTTTTGTTTTTTGGGTTTAGCTTGAAAGGATGAAATGCAGAGCGAATAATGCTGAAAACGAATCGGTGCTGCTGAAGCAGCAGCTTGAAGAACTTAGAAATCGGCTTAATGAGGTAACTAGTTTTGTGGTTTTCTTGTTCTTTTGCCTTATATGTATATAAAATACCACTTTTTCTTGTTCTTGAATATCACATTGGACATGATGTGAGTACAATTTGAAGGTTTCTTTTTCATGTATTATATATATATTTTTTGTTTCTTCTTATTTTGAAAATTTTCTGTAGCTGTTCAACTTCTGAAAATCAGTTCACATTTTTTTTTTCCAACTCAACTTTTTTATTTTTATCTTTTCATTTTTTGGGATTTACATTTTGGAAATATATTTCTAATACATACATAAATTTACAAAGCAGAGATCTCTTCCACTATAGGCCTCCATGTGTCACTTTTGTATGCATCATATGAGTTGCTCCCTTTCTCCACTTTTGCTTTCCATTTCTAAGGTTTCTAAAGTCAATTAATTGTTGCAGTACTCTATTAATAAGGATTAAACATGTAACTAAAACATTCAAAAACTCTCTCTCCTCTCCCCCTCCGCTGCCCCTCTCTACTATCAAATGTTCAACTCACTTTCAAATATTAAATTTTAAAGTTAACTTTCTTCCTTCCATTTCCAATTTTTTTTTTTTTTTTTGGATATCTCTCTCTATGTCTAAACCACTTGCTTATTATTGATTAGATTCTATTTTTTAATAAAGAAAAGCCATCATGTAAAAAAAAATACTAGAAAAGTTCAATTAAATAATTACTTTCCGTTATTTAGTTGCATTTTATTTTGTTGAATTTTTAAAATATAAGATAGAATTTCACACATTTGTATTTACCTTCATTAGTTGCACAATATTTTGGAATTTGGTTAACTTCCCAGCCAACCAAGTAATATTAACTGATGTATTAAGTGACTGGCCCAACTTTATTATCTTGGCCGGACTATATTAGGTGATGGGTGGAATGGGGGACCTAGGCCTTGTTTGGTTTGTGTTTTGAGATATTTCAAAAATAATTTTCTGGAGAGAGTTTAGAAAATTAGAAAATTTGTTTGGTTGTATATATTAAAAATAGTTTTGGAGTTTTGGAGTTTGTGATGATTTGATATTTTTTTGTAGTTGAATAGATGGGTGTGAGAGAAAAAGTGATTGAAAAGGAGAGATGAGAGGGAAAAAGTGATTGATTGATGTGTAGTAGAGAGAAAAGTGGATTTGAAATTTTTTTTTAATATAAATTTTCAAGCCAATATGTTTTTGGAATTTTTTCTCCAAAAACATGTTTTGAGAACATAGGGTTGGGTTAAACTGACATTTTTATGTTAAATCAATTTTATGAGTCAATTTGAACTGTAGAACCACTAGCCCAACCTCTAATATATATGACTGAATTATCCTAATAACACTCCAAATAAAAAATCTTACTTTCCCATACATTTATATCGGATTTTAACTGCAGCATGTTGTAGGTTTAATTTAATACATGATGTTGTTTTTAAAAATATGTGCACAAAATCTCTTACTGTCTCTCTCCTGTTCCATGGGCGTGGGTTACATGGTTCTACAGCTAATTTGGTACGTATACATGCAGCTAGTATATATTTTTGTCTGCGTGTTTGACAACTCCACAAATTCATTGAAGTGTGATAACATGAATTGATCATTTTATTTACTTCATTAGAGCTTGCACCAGAAGAGTGAACTAGAGAAGAAATTATCGAGTTTCACATTTCAAGAAGTTCCTTCCACAAACAGTGATATTTTGGTGAAGCATTTGCAAGAAGAGTTACGGATTTATGTAAGTTTTTTTTTTGGGTGCACATTATGACTGGTATTATGCTAAATGACTGTTATTCATTGAGTCACATATGGGTTGAATTACTATGAAACTAATTCATTTCTATATACTAATATTTATTTTGCAATTTAAATTTTTTGATTTTTTTTGTACCATGTTTAGAGTTTGTTGAGCTAATAGATCAGCATAGACTAGAGTGACTGATCACATATGTTAAGTTCATCTCAGACAATAAAATTTGGTGCCACCTCCTGGCCAAAAAAAAAAGAAGCTATTATTTCTAAATATTTTTAAACTTAACAAATATCAACTATACATGCTTTGATTGCAATTTATAAATCTTAAAGGTGTCTCCATATAATAGTTTTACTTAAAATAGCTGTAAAAGTTAAAGGGAAATCAAACAAGATGTGATGGATCTTTAGAGAGCATTATGGCTTTGTGGCTTCATTTGGGAAAGAAATTGTGATCACATTATATTTTGATGAAAGAAGAAGTTTATTTGCGAATTATGTTTGTGGAATTTGGTTACCTTACATTAAATTAAGAAGAACTGCGCTTCACATGTGCACAATACTCGTAAGAAAACCATAACTCAGCCTCAACAACACACTTGGGAAGCCATCATCACACTGCAACCCAAAACAACTTCGCATTTGGTGAACCAGAAATATAAACCGGGCTGTTAGCATTGCACCATGCATTGGAAATTCTCTAGCTCAGTGAAATATGGGCACATCTCAAACAAGCAAAATATCACTTGACATGTCATGTGTAAATGCCCAAGGGATATCCAAAAGTCGCAGCACACTAGAGACCACTAAAGTAGTGTCCAGTTAGGTGTCACGGAAAGGAGCCCCATCGAAGCAAACACTAAAATCTTGCCCTTTGAATGACAAATGCATACATCTTAAAGCCATTCCCATCTCCTTTCCAAGAAAAAGCAAAGAGAACAATGTGTTTTCTTTACTATCTATGCATGCTCCAGCCATGGTTATTTTGGGTGTTGAGCTACTTTGCATTGAAATAGATGCCTTGCTATAGCAGGTTTTACATTATCTAGTAATGGTGTGTAACAAATTCCATTTACCGATTAATTTTTATGACCGTAGTTCTTTAATTTGTTATTTTTATTTGCATTGGCATTGATTCAGGAGTCTGAAGTGCGAGAAGCAAGGAAGTTAAAATGTTCTCATGAAAATTTTGAGTTATTGAAGGAGAAACTTTTGGAGGAAAAGCGCCGGAGGGAGAGGGCAGAATCGGAATTATTTAAATTATCAGATATACAGTTGAGCATGAAGAAGTTGGAGGATGAATTATCTTCTTGGAAGATGTTGGTGAAGGACCTTCCTGGTGTATCATGCGCTGAGGATATGCCTCTCAAGTTTGCAGCTTTACAAAAGTGTGTTCCTAATTTCATCTATTTTCTGCGAACCTAATTTTCACTGTCAACTTTTTGAGGGCCTTCAAGTAAAAAAATGTTATCTGAACTTCTAAACACCAATGTCACCTTTTGATTCTCCTCTATTCCCTGTAGTAATTTTTAGACTCAACATTGTTATATCAAAGGACTCGTGTAGCTGACCCCGTTTGATTGGACTTAAGGTTTGGTTTGGTTTATTGTTATATCAAAGGAATGGGTCTGGTCTTTTAAGAATATTATTTATCATCATCTTATTGCTGCACACTAGATCCTGATGAAGTCAGATGCATGATATGCGTGTACTAGAGGGTTTAGTTGGAGAATACATGCTACTTTTGTTGACATCCTTGGGATGATGAATGCAATGTTCTCTGCTATGCTACTTCTGTTTTTCTTTAGAATTGTAGTAAAGGCTCTTTTTGTATTATTTTCTAACGTTGTGAACATTGGTTCTGTTGAGGAGTTCCCCCAACCCTGTATTTCCTTCTATAGTTAATCAATCATTGTCCTTGTAATAGAAAAAAAATGGAAATGAAGTGACTACTCTGTCTATTTTTGAAGTTTGGATCTTGCCCACCCATTTCAGTAGCTTTTCTTTTCCAATATTAAGCTACCTTTTATGCAGAGAGGTGGTTGAAAGCATGGGGAAGGTGGGTGAGGCCAATGCACACTTGAAACAAATGGAGGTTGCTTTGGATGTTGCAGAACTTGGTAAACAAAATGCTGAAGCTGAAGCTGCATTGGCCAGAGAGAATGCAGAAGCTTCAAAATCAGAGCTCAAGCGGATTGAGTTGATGGTAAGGATTACATCTGGTCGATGTGAACTCTCTTATTCTCAGTTCGCCATTACTGTACTTCCATGTCTCATGTTGGATGACATTTTTTTATCTTCTCTTCACTTAGGAGTGTTGTATTTTACCCCTTTCGTCTGTAGAGTATTTGAGGGAACTTCATTGTGTACTTAAGTGGATTGTGTACATTGTGAGGGGGCTGAAACAGAGGAAAAGAAAATATCATTCCCACATAATTCTTTGGGCTCTTAATGTACACGAAAACTTTGAAGAACATAGGGCCTTTACATTTGAATAAGTGAGTATAGTGCTTTTACATGGTTACATCAAGCTAGGAAAGTGAACCTAGATTTCTGAGATATTTTTTCTTCTAGTACATTTATTTAAGGAAGAGTTAACTAGTTAATAATTTTTTTCCTGATGGTTAACCCTCTAGTAAAGACAAACAGACTAATTGCACAGGGGCATAGGCTTTGGGCATGCATGGTGTGACCTATTGATCAATGGGTAGGCTCCACATGGACTTCTGTATTTTTTGTTCTTTCCCAAGCATTTACGTTCAAGATGCTGTTTGTGTCATGAAGAGCCTCGATTAAAAAGGCTAGCAATGTGGTAGAAGAAATCTTGTTGGCTCTGAGCAGATCCCCTCCATTGAAAAAAGAATATATTCAATATAGTGATAGAAAGTGTGTTCATTTTTTTGGGCTTGAATGAGTTTGTGTTGAGGCTTGTGATAAAAATGAAGGAACTCGAAAGTTTGGTTAGTGGATTATTTTCAATTTTGTACTAAGCCTGGTTTTAGATGGCCTCAGCGTGATGCTCTGTGCTCTATTTAATGTTCAATGATTAAATTGTGCCAAAGGTCGTGCAACCAAGTTAAAGTGGAGGAATTCGTTCAGTGCAACCAAAATTTGATTATTTTTGCTAGGGTGTGTTGCTTGACCTATTTCAAGCTTCTTGGCTACGATAGTAACAGCATGAACAGTTCTGACAAGCATGCTGGAGATGGTCACCAATCATGATGATGGTTTGTTATGATAAATTTAGAATTGACTATGTAATGTTTCGCTCCTATTTCTGATTTCACACTTATGGTAACTTCCAGTTTAGGTAACAAGCTGGCTTGTTTTCTATATTCTGTATTTTTATTATTATCATGTTTGATTTGTTTTGTTTTTAACATTATGGGAACTATTATGTTGAGCTTGGAATGGTTTAATTTTTGTGTGTTGATGCATTTTTAACTGAATTGGATAGTTAGACATAGAGAATATATAGACGAGAACTGGCTATTTATCAGGCTAGATACTGCCACATTTCCAGTTCCTTTATTATGCCGTGGTGTCTTGCTTGTTGCTTTGTGATGCTGACTTGTTGGCTGGTCCAATTTTTTTAGTTTATTTATTTATGTACTTATACTTCTATGTTTTTCTTATTGTTTGCCTTTTTGTTTTGTTTTGTGTGTGTGTGTGACAATTCATGCCATAGATGCTTTGGCTTTTTAATTATAAAATGGGTATTATGGTGTTCTCTATTCCTTTTTTTTGGCAGCTTTCTTCTGTTACTGAGGAAAGAGATCAATTAAAAAATGTCATTGATGAATTGAAGAAGCACAAGAATGTTGAAGCAGGGGGTGATATAGTGAATGGAGCTCTTTTTCAGGTTGTGCAACTCCATTTTTATTTTACTCGTTTTTCAAGTACTTTTTCCCTGATAGTCTTTGTTTTGTTACTTGATTTACATGGACAGGAGCTTGAATCATGTCTTGCCAAAAAGGAATACTGTCTCAAAGAATTGGAAAGTAATTTATGTGAACAAAAAGAAATCAATACGCGTCAGCACAATGAAATAAAGGTGCTCACTGAGAGATTAAATAATGAAGCAAGAAGAATAAAGTCATTAGAGAGGGAGGGTGATCGTCTTCGTTCTGAAATTTCTCTATTGGAGTCCAAGGTTTGTTTACCAACGATAAATCTATTTGGACATGCTACTGGTTTTTGGTCTTTCTAACTCTTTTGTAATATAGTAGTTGTGTTCTTTATACTAAATATTTTAGATTCACTAGAGGTTTACTTGCCAAGTTTGGTTTCTTCCAAGGACATTGTCAGGTGAGGGTTTTGGAAAATGTGATCCAATCATTATATTTCTCATTTGTCATAATATTATGTAGCTTTTTTTTTTTTTTTTTTTTTTTTTTTTTGTTTTTAAAGGAAAAATTATAGATATGTTCTTTTATATTGCAATTCTGTGGCCAAGAGGCATAGTTGATTGACAACAGGGCTACAATTTGTAACATGTGATGCTGTATCACATTGTACATGTTTTTAAGCCATTCTCTGCCAGGAACATGTGCAATTTTTCAGTTTACAATGGTTGTACTAAGTACTTGCTGCATGCACAACCTGCATGTACTGAAAGAAACAATGAGAGGAGGTAAAAATTATGAAGTGGCAGTATAGTGAAGCAGGAGATATTATTCCTAGAAAAGTTAAAAAATCCGACTAGGTTGTTTGCAAATTTGCAAGTAAAATCTAATAATTGTTTTGGATGTGTTCTCCAAGTCCAAACACTCTAATGTTAGTTATATTCAGAACAGCTTTGCAAAAGAAAAAGTCTGATTGAAAAACATTTTTCTTCTTATTCCTTTTGCAGCTGGGTCATGGTGATTTTTCATCTGCAAATACCAAAGTTTTGCGAATGGTGAATACCCTTGCAGTTGACAATGAGGCAAAACAGACAATAGAGACTTTACAAAGTGAATTACAGAAGACAAAGGAGAAGCTGCAAGCTGTTGAAGAATTAAAAAAACAATCAGGTATCAAGGACTGTTCTTTAAACTATATCATGTCTCTATCATGGTTTGTGGTCCTTCTTAAGCATCTTGTAGTTAATATCAGTGGTGCAGAAACTTGTATTTTTAGGGTAACACATTGCTAGGGTAATTTTATGATGCTTTCACTATCTATTGTATATGTAATTTCACTTTCTTCTTTGGGAAAAAAGGCCATTGTCAATTTATGGAATTGGGATGGGTGGAGTGGACAAACCTAGCTTCCAGTTTTATTGTTTGTACTGGACTCTATATGTTCACACTTGACACCTCAAGCTTTTTACCCTTATTCCTAGCAATTAATTCTTTAACTTGGTAACGACGGAAAATGAAGGGCAACAGAAAACGAGCTTATTGAGCATAAAATGTTTTCCACTTTGAAAGGTGGAAAATGTTTCCAGATTAAAACCTTACCGACGCCACCACCTTAACACCATAACTAACATGACTGCCACCACCACCACCACCACCACCACCACCACCAATATCACACCACCGCCAACACTACCACCACCATCCTGTTGCCACTCCACCATTGCTGCCGCAACCATCCGTACCACAACTATTAGCACATCAATTTTAAGGTCGTAACAAATATAAGAAAATGTTTTCCACCGAAACAAACGGAGCATAAATAAAAGTTGGTTAAAGATGGTTTTGCTGTATTTAATGATGAAACTCTAGATATTGTAGAATGGTTGTTTAGTGGTCGTAAGTAGAGCCAAAGCCGAGTGGTAGGCTAAGGTTTTGGTGAGTTGAGATGATACTTTGATGCGCAGTGACTAAATTGCAATTTTCTTTTGATTTTCATAATCTGCTTAGTTTTGTAGGTTTTAAAACTCTTAATTTGAGTTTTTCTGCTTGGCCTTATAATTGAGCCATTAAGAGTGATTTTTCTTGTTTTGATTGGTTGTGTTAAATTTTCTAGCTGGTGATGGAAAACTTGTAGACTCCTATATTTCTGGCAAGATTTTGCACTATAAGGAGCAAATTGCAACACTTGAAAAACGCGAGGAAAGGTAAGGGGTTGATGAAAATGATTCAGTATTATTGCATTTTTTAGCTGTACCCAATTGGTCATAATTGAAGTTTCTGAATGTGCCTATGGAACAGATACAGGACTGTTTTTGCAGATAAAATCTCAGTGTTCAGAAGGGCATGCTGTGAACTTTTTGGTTATAAGGTATTTCATTTCTACTCTCTTGTTGGTTCTCCAGTAATGGTCACAAGCACATCCTTAACAGTAACTTAGATGATTACACACAGACAATTGTGAAATAATATGATGCCTAAGAAACTAAAAGTGGAACTAATAACTGAGATTTTATACTGGATGCTGTATCATTTTTAAGGTTATCTCTTGAACAACTTGAAAATGCATTTATGTTGAAAGAGGGAGTGCTTGTGAATAGCTTGATATACATTGTTGAACCCATTTCCTTACAACTTAAGTGTAGCTTAAGCTTTTGGGACAAGGGGTGACTTAACACGATATTAGAGCTCATGTGGGGGTTAATCTTGGGTTCAAGTCTCTTCAGTTTTATTTAGTCCCCGTTTGCATCCTCTCTTCTCTCTTTTGCATTATTTCTTCTTTGTATGCATGGATGTTTGCATCTCCAAGTGCAAGATGGAGTTGCACGTGAGGGAGAGTGTTGGATGGCTTGATATACATTGTTGGATCCATTTTCTGACAACTGAAGCTTCTTTTTTGATAACTCGATATCCTGTCACCAATGGATTTCAGCATACTGTCCTTTGAGATTAAGTCAAGGGCAATTGTTCTCCACTATAGTTAGTCTTCTATTCATTTCAAACAGGAGGTTTAAATAGAGTTTCTAATATTGGGGATAATCCAATTTATTGAAAAACAAAAACAAAAACAAAGGGATCATCCGAAACAAGGAAATCATTTCAAGTTAATTTGAACTTCAAATTTGACCTTAGCATTCCCGCCCACATGACTTGATGTTTGCTCAAGGGTAACCAGTGATAGTTTCCTATATCTCTTATGCACAATTCTTTTTTGACAGCTCTAAATATATTTTTTTCTTCTATTTTTGGAGAGTAGTAAGAACTTCTAGAAGGAGACTTGAACTCGAGTCCATTAGGGAGTGCTGCCTAGCTACAACTGGGGTGTCCTCCATGATCAGATTCAAAATCAATAGAAATGTATGTCATATCTCAACAAACCTTTGAACCTTTGAGAATTGGTTATGTTTCCACTGTGGCCTGGTAACTGACTGCTTCCGTAGGCTGTTGCAATACTGGCCTTGTAAGTTGTAACTCACAGCTTGGGCAGAGGGACTGTTGTCTATTTTGTCTATTGTTTTCAGTTACCACTGAGCTGGTTTGACCTCTCTTTCTTTTCAAATTCAACCTCTTTCATATTCAAAAGTGTGTGAACTTATTTTGTTTTGCTTAAAACCACTTTCTGGTACAAAAATGGAGAATGGATAAAAGGATGTGAAACCAGCTAACAAAATGTTGAATGGGAGCTTGTTGCATCGTAATTTCAATTATTTGAACAGATGAACTGATGTATTCTCATTTTTTTTCAATAAAAATTGGTTTTGGAAATTCATTTTTGAAGAGTAAATACTTTTGCAGATTGTAATGGATGATCACAAGCGTTCTGATGGAATTCCGGTTACGCGTTTTACTCTCCAGTCTATATATGCTCAAAGTGATGATGAAAAGCTTGAATTCGAATACGAATCAGGAAATACAAACATTTTGGTAAGACTTTAGCTTGCAGTTCTTCTATGAAACGGGCTCCTTTCATAGACTAGAAGTGCTGAGATTGATCCTAGTAATGTTTTTGATGTTTTTTACGATTTCTTGAATGAGTGTCTTCCCTTTGATATATATTTTTTTCTCATAAAATTTCAATTCCAAATTTCATTGTAAACTAATTTTATTTTTTTCATCTACTAGGCAAATGATTACACCTCGCAGCCTGAGATATCCCATCAGGTACAAACTGCCAAGTTATTACAAATTTCTTTGTGGTGTATGTAGATTGTAGAATTGTGGCTAAGATGAAGTTTGAACTGTGATAATTATTTTACGACTTCTATGCGGTTGGCTTTCTTGCAGGTTGATATATTTATTAGGAAGTTAAATTCCATCCCGGCTTTTACTGCCAACTTGACTGTGGAGTCCTTCAACAAGCGAACTCTTTCTTGAAATGTAAGAATCTTGTCCTTGTAGGTCTTGAAAATTGTATGATTGAATTTGCAGTTGCATTTGGAGTACTAGAAATGTATATCTGTATCGGCTTCCCTTTGTTATCATCCAAATCAGTCTGGTATAATGCTGTAAAGCAATAGGTGAAACTATGTTTGTTTTCATTTTTAATGGACTGACTTTACGCTAATTTTTGAAAAGTTTGTTAAAGTTTTTATGATTGTGTGCTTTCTTCTTTCTTCAATAATGCAGATATGCCTTATTTTCAGTGGTGTGATAACTGTGATAGAAGCATAACATTGTCTTTGTGATTTGAGCATCTCGTGGGTAAATTTTTTTTCTTGTGGCTTTTTTTTTCTTTTTTCTTTTTTCTTTTCTTTTCTTAGGGGAGATAAATTACAAAATTTTATGAGAATTACATCAACTGGACATTCAACAATGGAAAAAAATCCAACACATACTATTATGTATACAACAAACAGATCAAACACAACAAAGACCCTTAACAAATATAAGAAATTTTCAAACTGAATGTTTAATTATGAAAGAAAGTCCAACACAACAAGAATCATACAACACACAGATCAAACACAAGAAAAAACTTCAAACAAATATAATGGGGAAAGACTTGTATGTAGATAGGGAGAATTTTTTGAACCCTTAATTTCATTGTTGAGTGCAGAGTTAGCCCCTTGATTCTTCTAGTATTTACAAATTTTAGTTTACTGAGAACAAAATACCCTTCTCTGTATAGGAACTAGTTTTCGTTGGAGGTCCATGTAAACATTTTTATAGATACTGCAAATTTAGGAAATATGCCTGGGGAGCAGGAATTGAATTCGGGATCTCTTTATCATTTGCCAAGTATGCTCTCTATATGTAGACTGCTTGCAGGGTAGTACTCCTATTGAAGAAATTCAACAAAAAGAGATTTCTCTCTTTTTTTAGGTTGGTTTCTTTTTCTTTTTTCAGTGGGGTTTTGTCGGTGGGTGGAGGCGTGTGAGTGCATGGATTGGTACAAATATGGATATACTTGAGATTTAAGAGATTAAAATGGCGATTGACTAAAAATGGTGGTTTGAAGTGAAGTGGGGTTGGGTGTGCAATGATTATGGGACTCTTCTTGCTTAGTCGTCATTCTCATTCTCATTCTCAGTCTCAGTCTCAGTCTCAGTCATCCTCCTCCTCCTTCCCCTCCCCCATTCAACAACCCCCTAAAGCATTCTGTGAATTAGGACTAGTAATAGGACACTCAAATGAATCATACGTGGCCAACAATATATTACTAGTGTGATTGGATTGAGCTTCTCCTCTGTGCCACACAACACAACTCCCCCCATGTTCCTTGTTTTCTTTTTGTGTGTCGTGTGCAACTAATCTAGACACAGTAGTTATTGCATTCCTTTCAACTGTTTCATTGCCATGATAGTGATCTCTTTATACTGTTGGTTAGATAAAGGGTGGGTTTGATCTTTGCTTATTGTAAGCTAAAAATTAGAAAGTAGAGGCCAAAAATTCCGTAGCTTTCAAATAATTAACTTTTTTTTCTTCAATTTATTTAAACTATTTTTATCTAATAAGCAGAAACTGCACCAAATAGTTTGTCATAGTTTTTCAAAATATAAAAAGTTATAAGTAGGTCATATAAGTTGTACCAAACAACAAAGGGGTTTGGGATTGTCTCCAATCCACACTGGACCGTGCTGTCTAGGCGCATGGGCTCATCACGGGTTTCACTTAGAAAATTTGACCAATTCAACTTTTAGGTCCTTATGTACAGATCATTTTTGAAAAAAGTAAAATTTTAATTCAATTATCATCACGATTTCATCATATCTATTATTATTATTTTTTTTAAATTAAAGAATAAATATAAATTGAAAAATAAATAATCTATTTTGTTTGTGTCAAAACTTTCTGAAGTTGTTTCAACGTAAATAAGCATTATTATAAAGAATATGTATTTCTTGGGTAACTCTTCATGCCTTAGAGCATCTTTAATGGAGCTCTCAAAACACTTGTCAAAGTTATAATTTAGCAATAGTGAAAAAAGTGGGTCTCCAATGACATGTTATTTTACTTGTCAAAGATGGCATATGCCATTTCTGTTCTCAAATTTGACCAGTAAAATAGCAATTGTCAAACATGTCACATCAGCAAATATAAACATATTTGTGGCTCCAAATTTAGTTGAAGAAACAAAATTAAAACAGTAGAAAATCAAGTAATTTTTCAAATCTAATTTTTCTATTTAATTTTTCAAATTGAATTATATTTAATTTTTTTTCTAATTATTACTATTTTTTTATATTTGTTTAGTCGGGAATAATATAAATATATATATTTTTTACAAATAGTTAAAAAAATGTCATAAAAGACAAAAAATAAAGAAAAATAAAATCACAAAAAAACATATATCCAAACAATACCTACAAACTTGAAGGGAAAATTGGTTGAGAATTGTCAAAATAGCAAGCGACAATTGAAGTACCATTGTTATAATTTGGCAAAATAATACTATTTATTGTCAAATTATAGCAATAGTAATGATATTAACAACCATTGAAGATGCTCTTACATTTGGTTATCTTTAATGCTCATATTAGTGGGATTATGGCTTTCTTAAGAAGATGGGTAGCCTTCATGTTTTTTAATAGCTTTTCTTGCCAAACAGAAAATAAAACACTTTGACTATATTATTGTTGTTGAATTAAACCATACCGCATGCAATTCCAATGGGGCCTAAAGTGATTAAGAAAACTCATTCTTCATTAAATATACTAATTACCAAAGTCAGAATGTCAAGGGTGATACAATATATATATATATATATATGAATGAAAAGAAAAGAAAAGAATATTAGAGAATCACTTCAATGCCATCTTCTTTGCATTTTCAAAAGAAGCCTACATTCAGTTCCAAAAAAAATAAAAAATAAAAAATAAAAAATAAAAAATAAAAAATACATTTGTGAACCCTTTATTTGTTTAAAAATAAAGTAGGGGAAAATTTCTAACCACTTTTTGGTACAGCTAAAATTCAAATATTCATTATTAGTTGTAACAATATTATAAATGCATTTTTTTATCATTCATTGGATAGGCTTCATGCAGATTCCACGCACGCACACACAAATGAATTGAGACTTTGAATAGTCTTCGTTTTAGGGTCATGGATATCTCTATCTAATTAAAGGCCCAATATCCTGTACATGTACTCAATTGCACTTGATGAAAAATACAAAAAAATAAAAATAATAACAAATTTGAAGCATGTTCTTATTATGATGAGAAGTATTAAAACAATGATTTTAGAGATAGAAGATCTTGTGCCTTATTGGTCGTCTTTTAAAATCTTGAGACATAATCGCAGATGACTATAAATTATACTTATTTTAATTACAAGATACGATGAATATCTTAACACAAAACAATCTTCCAGCAAAGTTGTACGATTAGAATATATTGGGACATACGTTTAGAAATTTGGGATAGAGAATTTTGTATATATATTTTTTTTTGAACTTGAATTTTATACTTTATTATAGCATATTTTTTTGTTTTATTTTTACTGCTATTGTTTCGGTGACTTTATTTGTGTGTGTGAGGGAGAGAGTCTATATTGGTTGGTTGGTTGGTTTCTCATTTGTTGACAATTGTCAACATGTCATCAATAACTATTGTTGTGTAATTTCTTTGATTTGTTAGCACCCAGCGTGCTTACCACATAAATTGTCAATGGTTGACAAACTTTTAAAAGAAGTCTTAAAAAAAATGAAATAAATAAATAAATAAATTGTTCCAGTTTATAATAGTCAAGATTTATAGTCTAAGAAGCGTCGAGTCATTCGCATTATAATAAACTTCAAAAATTTATCTTAAGACTGAGTTTATCATGACTTATATTTTGATGATATGATGAATTAATGAACTAATGCTTCATTTATTTGTTTTGGCAGATATTATTTTTAAAAAAATATTTTTCATCTTTTTTGGCATTTAGCATATTGAAATGAAAGTTTATGAAAAATAGTTTATGCGATTAACAAAAACAAGTTTATCAAAATAGAAAATGTTTTCACTTTAAAAGATTCAGATTAGAGTTATCAATGTGATCATACTGTTACTATACTATCACCATAACCACGACCACCACCACCATTACCCCACTCCCAGCACCTCTCTATTACTGATACAATTATTGACACATTAATTTTAAGATCGCAAGTAAATAAAATAAAAAAAAGGGTGATTTTGACATTGCATTGGGCAAACACAAGGCTGTGGTGAGGCAACTAAAGAATCATTTCAGCGCCACCTTCTTTGGAGAGAATTTGTTTAAAAAAGAAAAGCAACATTATACAGCTATATAGCTATTTATTTGCTGTATATAGATATACATATATAATATTGTCTAGGTACTTAGGATACTACTACTGTTATGAACATATGGAAGAATCTAGTACTCATCAAATCTATGATGAAATCCACTTTTTGATTTTGAGTACCTCTTGTGTTTGTAGATCTGTCACTCTCTTACCTCTCTTGTCCATACAAGGAAGATCTTACATTGATACACTTTGCTAAAATTGCCATACAAAGAATTACATGTGGATCTCTACAACTCTCTCACCTTACTGGTTATAACAACCTTGCAAGTTACAAGTTACTAGTTACTAGTTACTACTTCAATTCCACCCACTATTTCCTCCACCACCACCACTATGGGCTGATCATCACATCCATCACATCTCCCACAAAATATATGCACCCATTTGCCACTATGTTATGCTTTGCGTCACTGCCCCCTTCTTCCAATAGTTTCAGTTTTGGTAAACAGGACAGATTCAGAATTTTCATATAGGGTCAAACATATATATTTTAACAAATTTTTTGAAAAGAAAATATGAATTATAATAGCAATTATGTGAAGATAAGATGAAAAAATATATATAAATAGCATTTTTTTTTTATCCACATTACACTATGTTTGGTAACTTAAGAGAGAAAAGAAGAGAAATGATTAAATAAGTTATAAGAAAAACGAAAAGATTGTGATTTCTTTTCTTTTTGTTTGGATAGAAAAAAAGAAGAAGAAGAAATGATATTGATTTGTTTCCTCTCTTGTTTGGTTAAGTAATATAAAAGAAAAGAGAGAAAGAAATGATGTAATGTTATATTATCAAATTAAACTTTTTATAGGTGTTAGCATTTTTATTTG